CAGTTGGGAATTCCGGGATAGGCGGAACTTCGACGTGTCCTTTTTTTTGTGTGAATGTTCTCGGTCGCGTTGGGGAAAACTCTCGGAATTTTGTGAGAATACGAATAGGTGTAGGATTTCCTTTTCCCGCGTCGCTTTTTTCACCAGCGAATATGGTGATTTCAATTTTGAATTGGTTTAGGATGTAGGCAAGCTGTAACTGTTTCGGTGCCTTTTTCTCTTTTTTGTTGACGGCGCCGCGCATGCAAAGCTTTCTCCTCTCTGTCCCCCGCATCGCTCTCTCCCGCGCTCCTTTTTCCTTCCCCCTCCTCTTTCTCTCTCCTCGTAACTGTTTTTCTCCCTCTCTCTCTCTCTCTCCCGCTCTACTCTTTGCGCGCCCATTTCCCTTTCGTGATCGTCTGAATCTTGGACCCGTCTTGCGCTTCTTCTCGCGCCTTTTCTTTTCTCGCCCTTCGAGCAGAGCTTGCGACGTCCGGTCGATCCTTCGATCACTCTCGCCCACCAATCAGACGAGTGGTACAATAGGATCTGCCTATTGCGTGACGAGTCTGATTGGCCAATCGCCGAGTACCAAAGGATCAACATGGCTTCTATAGCGCGCTTCTCTCCAAGTCTTCTCCTCCTGCTTCTCTTCTTACACTTCGACTTTCCCCCTGCATTCTCTCTCGCTTGTTTCCTTCCTCGCCACTATAAATTTCGCAAACGCGCCCGCAAATCGCTCTTACGTTCTCGACTCCTGAGCCAGCTTCCGGGAAGCAGTGGCTAGGCAGAGTGTTTGATGCGAGTCGAAAAGTCCTGTTGGGCTGTCGATAGGCTGGCCGGTTGCGCGCTTGATCGCCACGACGGACTGTGGGATCTGGGCGAACCGCGTCGAGTTTACGTCAGCGGGGTGACGATCGCAGTGGTGGGAGTTAGCACGGGACGGTCGGGATCGTCGGTGCGGGTATGAGGATCAATGATTGGAGTTGAGTGGGTGATTGGCCCGGGGCCATATTGGAATTAACGGCGAATGCGCCTTTATTGTTGCAGATCTTTATCTCTGGCGTGAGTGCACGGCGGCAACACCGAACTTCCTCCTTTCGGATCTTGTCATCTCCTATCTCGACTTTCCTCCCTTATCTCCCTCTCTCTCTTCTATCTTTGAATCATGATGTGTCTCGGTGTTTGTCTCCCCCTTGGATGGGAATAAATCTGTGTGCTTTCCGGTGTGAAAGAACTTCTTCCGGAACTCTTCCATTAGTTACCTGGGTAATCTCCATATGTTGAATTGATCCTCTTGTCTTGTGAAAGGTGGATGCGTATGTACAATTCCCTCGGTTGATTTCTGACTCGTATACCCCTGTCATTTTCGCACCTTCCACAGTGAATGTGTGTATGAAGATGCGCGTCTTTTTGTGTTGATTAGACGCAGCCCCCAGCAGGATTTTGTTCGAGAATGCAAGAGTGTTTAGATTTGTAGTTCTGGAAGCCCTGCGCATGCCATCTGCCTTATGCTGCACGACATCAGCAATCGAGCCACCGGGCGGCCTCGGAAAACAAGGCGCCTTGGATCAACGCCGCGTTGGCTTACTTAACCTGAGTCGCGGGTCGGTCCCTTAGTTACATGCCTGATCAAGCTGATGAGTGTTTTTTTTTTTCTCTCTCTCGTGTTGAAAAAAAGTGATTGGTGGTGGCGCGAGTGTTTTCTTTTCTTGATGACGTCTGGGGATTTTTGCAATTGATTGACATGTGGACTGACAAACACCCTTCAATCGGGCGTCAGCCTCCCGTATCTCCCGTATCAACACGACCTTTTCCTTACAACAAGGAAAGGACACGTGTATGCGAGTGGGACGTATGAGAAGCCGTCGCACGAATCGGCAGACAATATTACTTTCCTCCGGAAAACCGTTGTTCAGGGTTCGTAGAGGATGGGTTTGTCATTATCGATACACACTCTCCACCCTACTCGATATTGTTGCCATTCGACGAGTTGATAGTCATCCCGTGGACGGCAGTAGAACCCCACTGGTCGCGCACTCTATGCACCGAATGCCAGCGCTTTGAGTGCTACGAAACCAGGGGTTTCCACTACCGTGTGCGGAGTGAAGACGAACAAAGAGAAAGAGTCACGCGACTAAGACCATCCACGTCAGATTCAGAACTGGTCAGTGAACGACGACGGGACTTGATACGGAAACGAGACACGCAAAGCGTGCTGAAGCCTTTCTGTTCTAAATGACGGGCCGTAGCCAGGTGGGAAGTCCGACAATATTTTCTGGATTGAATTTGTATTTCTCTCTCCTCTCGCGCTAAACTTCCGTGCGCATTTTGCGTCGCTCGAAAAACAATCAACTTACTTCATCGGACCAACACGGGGGATCTCAGTTTCGTCTGTGTCCCCACACTCAATTTCAAAAAATCCTTGGCACACCCCATCTTGCTGTTTTTCTGGGCCTCTTTCTGCACATCTAGCACTCCGAAGAAAGACAGCACAGGGCGTGAGGTTGGTATCGGAGCCGACACATGTCGGTTCTGATGATAGTGAGTCGAACTGGCGAGAGGTAGGAGAAGCCCTCTACTAGCTCGTCGAGATCGCCCAGTGACCAGGTCTCGATCTGGTGCGGTTGCACCCGCAATGCAGATGGCAGACGGTACTAGAGTGATCGTTAGCATTCCTGCCCCTTTCCCCTTTTTCCCTAACCATACCCATCATGAGGCTTGGTTGGAAGCCGTCGAAGCTCAAGGCTACAATGAGGGATCTTCCCCACGTTCTTACCTTGCCACTCCGCAATACGTTGCATGACTGGTTTAGAAAGCATAAGTGGGTAGATTGGAATACTTTCAAACAAGCCTTATTGGCTCGATTCGATACGGTCGGTGAAGATGCCGCCTGGTACGTGCTCAAAACTCGGCCACAAGGACCAGGGGAATTGCTGCCCGATTTCGTGGATCAATTTCAAACCACGTTGGACAAATCTGGGCGAGATGAGAAATCTGCTCGAGATTTGTTCATAGATCACCTACGAAGTCCGACGTTGAAAGGGAAGTTAAAGAAAAAGGTCCCGCCAAAGACACACCGGTTATCTGCTATCATCGCTAAAGCGTTGGAATTAGACCTGGCTGATACAAAAAAATATATTAGTCAGGGAGATGAAGATATTACGGGCACCATACAGGATGTAGCGGCTAAAAGGCGATTGTGGTTGCGGGCGGTAGAACAGTTTTCCCGCCCCGACCATGACCTTCCCGACGGGATCGCTTCCGATATACCACCTGTTTCTTCTTCCTCTCCCCCGGTGAATCAACCGATAGCGGCAGTTAAGAGCAGAATCTCCCACGAACTCCCCTCGCCGGCCGTAACCAACTTACATCTAGCCCAAATGATCCATACGGCCACTACCAAGCAGTCCGAATGGATGAGCAACTTGATCCAAATGCAGGCCGCTCACATGGAGCGGATGGAACAGATAATGAGCAGGCTAATTAAGCCTAACCCGGCCCCTGCTCAGCCTGCCCCCGCGTCATTTCCACTCTTGCCTGCCCCGCCTGCACCAGGATACGCACCTCAGTTCCCTCACCCAACTAATCCATCAGGAAAGATCGAGTGTTTTAACTGCAAACAGCCCGTAGATTTCGCCTGAGACTGTCCGCAGCCAAAGCGTAATCAGCCCTCACTTGCTGCGGCCCCTGTGGCCATGAATCAAGGACGAGTGACCGCATTGATGGATACGGCCCAAGGAGGGGAGCTCGTGGCATATGCCCCAGAACAACCTTCCCCCTTGATGGCAACGGCGTCGACATCGAGAGCTTCTTGCTCTGACGCTGCTAACGTGGTCGATCCACTTGAGTATCTTCATCTCGCAGGCACGATCGGAGCGATCCGATCGGCCCCTAATGATCTCGAATGGGTCGATCGTGAATCCAATCCTTGTCCGCAGTTTCAGACGGGAGAAATTGATGTATTGAGAGCGCTCAAGCAACTGGATATTCGTGTTCCTATCCCAGTAGGACATTTGCTCACCATATCCGAAGCTGCGAATGATAAACTCTTGCAACATTGCTAGTAAAATCAGAAGCGCTTCACGTACCAGCGCAGACAACGAATGTTAAAAAAGAAGGAAGGAGGCGAGGAAGTTGCACCGCCCGAACCCGAAGATGACGAACCCGAAGCCGCACGTATAGCAGCGATCTCTTTAGCAGAGAAGGATCACTTCGTACGAGCTCGACCGGTACTGTGAAAGAGCGCGGAATGTGATTGTGAAGTTTGGGGCAAGCCGTTTAACGACCTTATCGACATAGGATCTTCTACAGTGGCCATATCATTAGACACTGTCAAAAAGTCGGGACGACTCAGATCCATTCTTCCTCAATCTGGCAAAGACAATTATGTCTTTGCTGATGAGGAAGCAATGAACATCGTGGGCATTATTGAGAATGTGGCTGTAAAGGTTGGACAAGTACACGTCCTTGTTAACGCACTAGTAATAGATGTGCGTTCCTATTCTGTATTGTTAGGACTACCTTGGGCGATGGAGGTAGGGGCCAGTCTGCATTTCGATTCAAAAAAACTGGTGCTCACGCAAACTGGGGGAAAGCCTCAAACTGTTCCCTTACGAATTTCCACCCGAACGATAAAACGAACTCGTAACTCAGCCCAAATAGGGATGATTCGATGCATTGATCCCGATGACTATTCTTCCTCAGACATCGGTAGCGAAATCGGGGAACAGGAATACGAAGAAGAACTACCTAGTGAGGATGAATGGAAGCACCTAGTCGAACTTTTCGAACATGAAATTCCCGAAGAATTTTGAGTGTGCCCCGACACTGCCCGAAGCTTCCACGTGGATTCAGGAGACAACTCGCTTGTGCCTCTGAAAACCCAGGTCAGTCCTTTAGTCCTCCTCAGGGAACCCATATTACAAGTATCTGACCTGGCCGATGATTTGGAACCCCCTCGTACCTTGTACGACCTCGTACCTTGTACGAGGGAGCACTTTTCTTACGAACGCGTTATCAACAAACGAAACAGTATCTAGACGTTTCTGTTTTACCGCCCAGATCGTTACTAACGACGGGGGCGGCCATCGCTTTGATTAAATAGGAAGCGGAAGCGCCGGTAGATGACGTGCCTGATCTAATGCAGGAGATGACGGACCTAACAAGACTGACTGTGGAACAAATTTCGGTCGGCTCAAAAACTAACGCTGAAACTAAAAAAATCGAAATGATCAGCTCCGCCGAATCACAGATGATTGCGACTGTCTTCTCTGTTCGCACCAAAAGTTCCGTCTTTTCGAGTGTCTATGATCAACGAAAGCGGCCGGTTGATTGGATCGACATACCCCTTCAGATTTATGGGGAATCGACAATCGCCCTGCCGAACCACGTCCCCACGGAATTCCGGAAATCATTAATCTGTGTTTTGAATGGTTACGCGGAGGTATTAAGTGTACATGATAACGATATTGGCCTGAGTAACGTGATCGAGCATGCCATTCTCATGGAAGATCATCCGCCCATTAGCTGCGCTCCTTACTGATACTCGCCAACTCAAAGAGCGGCCGTTTTTCAGCGGATTAAAGAATTCGAAGCTAATGGATGGATCGAACCCGCAATAGGTCCATGGTCTTATCTCGTAGTAATTGTGCCCAAAAAAGTCGGAGGGATTCGTATTTGCATTGATTACCGGAAGTTGAATGATATCACGGTCAAGGATGTGTACCCCCTTCCCCGGATTGATGAGTTGTTGGATGCGATTGGGAGTGCTCGATTTTTCAGTAAGTTTGATGTTCGCCATGGGTTCCATCACCTTCTTGTTCGAGAAGAAGATCGTCTGAAAAAGGCGTTTGTGCTTTTCGAGGGTACGTGGCAGTGGATTCGATATCCGATGGGTATCTGCAACGCCCCCGCGACCTTTCAGCGAGCCATGAATATGGCCTTTCAGAATTTCGTGCGGAAGACACGTTTGGCACAGAACATCATCAACTACTGCGTGATTGTGTACATGGATGACATTCTGGTGTACTCGAGTTCCTACGAGGGACACGTGCAGCACATCGAATGGGCGCTGCATGCGTTACGAGATGCGGGCTTCAAGGTGGCGTTTGAGAAGTGCCAGTTTTTCCTTACCACCATTTCTTTCCTGGGACACGTGGTGACAGACCAGGGACTCCAACCGGAGCCGCAGAAGGTGGCAGCTGTCAGGGAAGCGCCGATGCCTACGACTATCACGCTTTGGGCCTGGCCTCGTACTACCAAAGATTTATCAAGGGCTTCGTGGAGATTGCGGGGTCCCTCACAAATCTGTTGCGCAAAAATCAGTCGTTGATTTGGACGTCTGAGTGTAATCAATCGTTTTTGAAACTGAAGGCCGCTCTCATTTCGGCTCCGGTCTTTATAAGGCCGGATCCCGAAAAACCTTTTGTTCTCATTACTGACTGGCAGCCAGAGGCAATTTCGGCGATCCTTGCCCAGGTGGGACCAAGTGGACTCGAGAGCGTCGTGGAGTATGCGTCCAAATCGGTGCCCGCCTGCAAGCGCAACTACGCCGCTCCAACGGGAGAATGCTACGCGGCTCTCTAGGGAATCAGCCACTTTCGCGCTTACCTGTACGGGCGGAAGTTCACCTTGGTAACCGATCATGAGCCCCTGTTGGCTCTGAAGAAATCGAAGGATTACTCTGGCATGATCGGGCGATGGGCAACGGTGCTGCAGAGCATGGACTTCGACATTCGTCATCGGAAGCACGAGAGACATGGGAATGCGGACAGACTGACACGACTGCACCGGCCTGAGAAAGTTCTGAAGAGTGAGGAGGTGATTTCGTGGAACGAACCCGAACAGGAGATTGGACCTCGGTACGGCCAAGTGGAGATCTTGTCGAAGCAGTAAGTGACACGAGGACCAATTTGTCTGTTCTACCCTCTCCGCAGTACAGTCCCATCTCTCCTCCTCTGTCATCATGACTACCCCACCTGTCTCCGCATCCCCTTCTTCTCATACTAATTCTGCCCGTCTCACTTCCTCAGCTTTCTTTGCCATCCTCCCAGATAAGTTCTGCTATTTTTGTACGTGTATTGCACGGGTTTATGGGTTCGACTGTCATCCTTTCGAAACTGGGTTTGTCGATTGGGTAGAATGTGCTACGTGCGTCAATCGTGCGCACGGGGCCTGCGTTCGATATCGGACGAGTAGCAAGGAATGGAGGTGCCCCCTTTGTAGAACGAACAAACTCCCCACGGAGGTTCGATTCGAGGCCCCCCGTACGAACGACCCTGAATACGATGAAAAATACCGACGAGCGGAGGTTTGGACGGATAAAATTTTATTGGCGAAATTAGCGGGATTATCATTGGGTCACCTCACCAAACACGACAGACGTAGGGCAACCGAGAGATCTCGGTACTATCGGTGGATCAACTATCATTTGGAGAAGCATAAAACTGACGGATCGGGTTTGTGGTTGACGGTTCCCCATCCATTCCAGTGATATGATTGGATCCGATCGACTCATGAAGAACAGGCCGCTCATTTCGCGATATGTGTCACGGAGGCAACTATAGACCAGAACCGATGGTTCTGGTCCAACATACGAGATGATGTCAGAGACATTGTCGCCAATTGTCTGATCTGTGCCGCTGATCGCGCCCCAATACGGGGACCAAACACGATAGTACCAACGGAAGTAGAGCGCCCCTTCCAGCGAGTCAGTATGGACACAACAGATATCGACGTGCCACCTGACCCAAACCGCTGTGAATATTCTATCCTGTTAGTATTAATAGACCATTTTTCCAAGTACATCGAGGTCTATCCCTGTAAGACCCGAAAGGCCGCAGAAATAGCCACGTACATCGAACGGTTCCTTTATACCCATCTAGAAACGGAAGAAATTCTAACCGACAATGAGTCCGAATTTAAGGGAGAAGTAGAGGAACTGCTCGCACGAAGGGGCATCAAGCTAGGACACATGACACCCCATGTATCCCAATGCCGACCGTATGATTAAAACCGCCCTTCGCAGGAATTTAGCGGCACACAACACGCGTCCGTGGCCCGAGATCGTATATCAGATCGTCGGGATCCACCGGGCCACCCCTCACGAGTCCACGGGGTTTACCCCTTTTCAGCTTCGTACTAATAACCTCCCCTGTGTCGACTACCGGGGTAACTCGAAAATTGTCGAAGCAGGGGGTAAAGACACGCGTGCAGCACTCAAGGCCAAGGCCAAAAAGTACACCGAATTAATGGAGCGGGTCGTCCTGAAGCTAGCCCGAAAAAGACAAAGGATGACCGATCTGGCCCACGGTAGGCAGGTTCGTAGCTACGGGGCTCGGAATGGAAATGCTGGGCCCCAACATCAATAAAAATTAGGGGACCTAGTGCAGGTACGTAAATGTGCACGCGATCGGAAACTCGCTCCCAAGTTTTCTGGTTGTTTTCGCGTTGTCGAGCTCGGACCCAACGGCGCCAACACGGTGCGCATCGCGCCCGAGGCTAGCGCCAGCCATAACTCTGTCCCCATCGTCTGACATACCTCCTACCTCCGACCTCTCCCTCCCTCTGACCTTCCCCCTTCTTCCTCCTCCAAAGGCGAGGAAAACTACGACGATCTAACTCTCTCTCTCCACTCTCTCCCTCCTACCCTTCGTCATCCTCTCCGTCCTTGCCATGAGCTTCTTTACGGAGTGGGCTCTCGATGATCAACTGTTGCAGCCACGTGGCCACATCTCGGAAATTCGGCAAGTTCGTCATCCGCAGCTTAGTACCGATCTTCGGCATCTGGCGCAGTTCTTCTGCGACGTGCGGGTGTATGCAGCCGCAGCGTTTCGATTCGAGGGGAGTCCGCGGGCTGTAGTATTGGCGGAGGTGGTGACGGTGCATCGGCGAGCGGCTCCTGGAACGAGCCACGTCACCACGGTCGCAGCCTTCAACGACGACATCAGTACGGTCAATCCTCTGTAGCATACCGCGATAGTGACTTCGCTACGAGAGTGGACAGAGCAGGTGTCCAACGTATGGCAACACGGTCTTGCCCGACCAGGGCACAATCTCATCCCGACGTTTGCGCCTGATCTTGACGGGGTCCACCTCTCTTTGCGTGAGCCCGCGGTTGCGATCCCCACCCTCGTTGCTTTCCCATGCCCTCGATGAACCACGCCGGCCCCCTCGCTCCTCTCTCCATCTTCGGTCTCCCCTCTCTCTTCCCCACCTTCTGGCAGTCCGATCTTCATCCTCATCTCTCCCTCTCGATCGAACCCCTTTCCGTCCCGCTTCTTAATCCCAGGCATTGGCGACTTTGGCGTGAAACCTTTGTCGAACTATCCATGTGTTTGGCTCGAGTGCAGGTGACGTGGACGCGGACCAGCGAGCATCCGCGTGTTTCGAAAGCCTGGAATTGCTGATCATACAAGCCTGGAGGACTAACGTGGAAGGTGATCTCCTCGGTTTTCTCTTCGGATCAGTGCGGCCGGGACATCGCCAGCTAATCGATCAAGAACTCATCGTGCCGATCGTGCAACTGGCGGACGATCTCTCTCCTGACATCATTTCGCAAAGCGACGATAGCCTCGCTCCATACGTACTCACGCAACCGTTGGATCCGTATCTTCAGTGGAGTGCATGCTTGGAAGAGTCTGGGGACGAAGACTTTCTACCGTTGCGGCAGGAGTATCTGAAGCCATATGACATCATCGCTCACGCTTTCTATCCGAAGGCAGAGGAGCTGGTGATAGAGGAGGAGGAAAGCGACGACGACGAGGAAACATCGGAAGAGGGAAGCTATAGCGAGTATAGCGAGGGCGAGCAGAGCGAAGAAGAAGAAGAGAAAGAAGAAACCGGGTCGGAGTAGGAAGCCTTGCCGGAGGAAGCGACGCGTACTGGCACGGAGGCAGAAGATCCCGAGGCAGCACGCAAGCGGGAAGAAATTGCCACCGGAAAACGCCAGTTGGAGTTCGCCGACGGAGTAAGCCTGCAAATCGTTGACGATCCGACCCGGGATCCAGAGCCGCCTAAGCCCGAAGATGGCGACCCAGCAGCCGCCACCCCAAGCACCTCACGACGGAAACGGAGCCGATCCTCCTCCCCCTCCAACCCCACCCGTCCCTTAGTTCGTCCACGTACCGATGCGGGGGATAGGCCTTCGTCCCCGGACATTATCCCGCCGTCCCCTTAATTACCGAACCCTCGAGCCGATCCACATCCCCGTCACCTTCCCTCGCCACCCCTTCCCTCCCCATCTCTTCCGTGATTTCTACTCTACGCGCCTAATCGCTACCGTCTACCCCCACCGATCCCTTCAGCCCACTGCCCCCACGTTCTGTCTGCATATCCTGCTGTTTAGCGCTGCGTGAGAGCGGTGCAACGTAGTAGAAGTCTACTGCGTAGCCACGGGGACGATCCCCGCCTGTCGCCACTACAATGTCTTTCGCGCGGCGCTCTTCCGCACCCTCTCCTCCCTCTACCGCGACTACCTCGCCTCTCTCCCCCACAACAGCGATCGCTTCCCTCGTTTCCACCAGATCATTTGTTATGAGGAACTTCCGGTGACGGTAGAAGGATTGAATCGCTACCTACCCCCACTTCCTCCCCGTCGTCCCCGCGAACTTCCCTCCATGTACCGCCTCTACTAGCTCATTCCAACAAGCCCCCCCCCCCCCCTCTTCTCTTCACCCAATTGACACGGGAAAACGGCACGAATCAGTAAGCTTCGCGAAGATCACGCCATCGACGATGACGTCAACTTACGCTCTGATTTGACAGGCAGCGACGAGCCGGGGTGCAAAGCACACGGAGAACCAGCGGACGATGATGGCGTCACCTGGACGACCTCCGACGATCCCAGCAGCATGAGCCAGTAGACTCACGAAGAAGTTGCAATTGAAGTTGGCGTCAACATGAACTCTGGCTCGATCATCTGCTGATACACTTGGTTCCTCATGCATCACTCTTCCCCCTCTTTCCTTCTCTGCCGCGACATGCAATCAGGAGATCGCATAATTTTGGAACCCCATGCGCGTCACATATGTGATGAACTACTTCCCAAACCCGTGCCATCTTTCGTACCCCTTTGGTTTGAATTCTTCTTGTATCATACCCACCCTCCACGCATCCCGTTTGTTATCTTGATTTCGGGCGCCACATTTTGAGGCCCCACCTTCCGGAAGTTTCTGTGATTCTTCGGTTCTGCTTTTTTCTTTTGCAAATTCGGGAAATGCCTAGGAATTTACGTGCGCCTTAGCGAGCGCACGAGGAATTGGGCCCGGCAGTTGGGAATTCCGGGATAGGCGGAACTTCGACGTGTCCTTTTTTTTGTGTGAATGTTCTCGGTCGCGTTGGGGAAAACTCTCGGAATTTTGTGAGAATACGAATAGGTGTAGGATTTCCTTTTCCCACGTCGCTTTTTTTCGCGCGCGAATATGGTGATTTCAATTTTGAATTGGTTTAGGATGTAGGCAAGCTGTAACTGTTTCGGTGTCTTTTTCTCTTTTTTGTTGACCGCGCCGCGCATGCAAAGCTTTTTCCTCTCTGCCCCCGCATCGCTCTCTCCCACGCTCCTTTTTCCTTCCCCCTCCTCTTTCTCTCTCCTCGTAACTGTTTTTCTCCCTCTCTCTCTCTCTCCCGCTCTACTCTTTGCACGCTCATTTCCCTTTCTTGATCGTCTGAATCTTGGACCCGTGTTGCGCTACTTCTCGCGCCTTTTCTTTTCTTGCCCTTCGAGCAGAGCTTGCGACGTCCGGTCGATCCTTCGATCACTCTCGCCCACCAATCAGACGAGTGGTACGGTAGGATCTGCGTATTGCGCGACGAGTCTGATTGGCCAATCGCCGAGTACCGAAGGATCAACATGGCTTCTATAGCGCGTTTCTCTCCAAATCTTCTCCTACTGCTTCTCTTCTTACACTTCGATTTTCCCCCTGCATTCTCTCTCCCTTGTCTCCTTCCTCGCCACTATAAATTTCGCAAACGCGCCCGCAAATCGCTTTTATGTTCTCGACTCCTGACCCAGCTTCCGGAAAGCAGTGGCTAGGCAGAGTGTTTGATGCGAGTCGGAAAGTCCTGTCGGGTTGTCGATAGGCTGGCCGGTTGCGTGCTTGATCGCCACGACGGACTATGGGATCTGGGCGAACCGCGTCGAGTTTACGTCAGCGGGGTGACGATCGCAGTGGTGGGAGTTAGCACGCGACGACCGGGATCGTCGGTGCGGGTATGAGGATCAATGATTGGAGTTGAGTGGATAATTGGCTCGGGGCCATATTGGAATTAACGGCGAATGCGCCTTTGTTGTTGCAGATCTTTATCTCTGGCGTGAGTGCACGGCGGCAACGCCGAACTTCCTCCTTTCGGATCTTGTCATCTCCTATCTCGACTTTCCTCCCTCATCTCCCTCTCCCTCTTCTATCTTTGAATGATGATGTGTCTCGGTGTTTGTCTCCCCCTTGGATGGGAATGAATCTGTGTGCTTTCCGGTGTGAAAGAATTTCTTCCGGAACTCTTCCGTTAGTTTCCTGGGTAATCCCCATATGTCGAATTGATCCTCTGGTCTTGTGAACGGTGGATGCGTGTGTACAATTCCCTCGGTTGACTTCTGACTCGTATACCCCTGTCATTTTCGCACCTTCCACAGTGAATGTATGTATGAAAACGCGCGTCTTTTTGTGTTGATTAGACGCAGCCCCCAACATGATTTTGTTCGAGAATGCAAGAGTGTTTAGATTTGTAGTTCTGGAAGCCCTGCGCATGCCATCTGCCTTATGCTGCACGACATCAGCAACCGAGCCACCGGGCGGCCTCGGAAAACAAGGCGCCTTGGATCAACGCCGCGTTGGCTTACTAAACCTGAGTCACGGGTCGGTCCCTTAGTTACATGCCTGATCAAGCTGATGAGTGTTTTTTTTTCTCTCTCTCTCGTGTTGAAAAGAAGTGATTGGTGGTGGCGCGAGTGTTTTCTTTTCTTGATGACGTCTCGGGATTTTTGCAATTGATTGACATGTGGACTGACAAACACCCTTCGATCGGGCGTCAGCCTCCCGTATCTCCCGTATCAACACGACCTTTTCCTTACAACGAGGAAAGGACACGTATATGCGAGTGGGACGTACGAGAAGCCGTCGCACGAATCGGCGGGTAATATTACTTTCCTCCGGAAAACCGTTGTTCAGGGTTCGTAGAGGATGGGTTTGTCATTATCGATACACACTTTCCACCCTACTCGATATTGTTGCCATTCGACGAGTTGATAGTCATCCTGTGGACGGCAGTAGAACCCCACTGGCCGCGCACTCTATGCACCGAATGCCAGCGCTTTGAGCGCTACGAAACTAAGGGTTTCCACTACCGTGTGCAGAGTGAAGACGAACATAGAGAAAGAGCCACGCAACTAAGACCATCCACGTCGGATTCAGAACTGGTCAGTGAACGACGATGGGACTTGATACGGAAACGAGACACGCGAAGCGTGCCGAAGCCTTTCTGTTCTAAACGACGGGCCGTAGCCAGGTGGGAAGTCCGACAATATTTTCTGGATTGAATTTGTATTTCTCTCTCCTCTCGCGCCAAACTTCCGTGAGCATTTTGCGTCGCTCGAAAAACGATCAACTTACTTCATCGGACCAACACGGGGGATCTCAGTTCCGTTTGTGTCCCCACACTCAATTTCCAAAAATCCTTGGCACACCCCATCTTGCTGTTTTTCTGGGCCTCTTTCAGCACATCTAGCACTCCGAACGAAAGACAGCACAGGGCGTGAGGTTGCGCATCACACCGTCCGTCTACCGCCTTCCCCTGAACATAACGCACTCTAAAAATGAATGTTTACAAGCTATATTTCCGGCCAGATACGGCCAAAATGAGGGTGTGTTGTGTTCGGGGGAAGACGGTAGTATCCCACCTCTACAACAACCTGCAGGCTGGGCTTTTTGGAAAAAAAAAAAAAAAAGAAGAAGGC